TATATATATATATAGAGCTCAGATAGCTCGGTGGTATCATCCATCAGTGTTGGGACGTGTTAAAAGGGGGGGTTTGCTTCCAACCTGGCAACCCGTGAAGGAGTCTGCTGGAGGAAAATATTGGCCAGAGCAGCAGACTGCTCGGCGTTAAAGACGACTGGCTGGCTGTGCGAAYTGCGGTAAGCTGTTTCCAGAACCTACCGTCCACTTTGCTGCCAACTTCACGTACGTATTTCATAATCTGAAGCTACAAACGCAGCAGGCTTCTTTCTGGATTAAAGCAGAGGCGATTCAACAGCAGTTGAGCTTTTTTTCTTTTTTTTTTTTTTAAGTCTTTGAGATAGAGAGCGAACACAGACTCGCTGCTAGTTGCGGGCTAATGTGAGCTAAAAGCTGTGTGCAAAGGTCCATCTAGAAAAAAGGCTGTGTGCTGTAACTTATTGCTAATGTTATTTTTTTTTTTTAAAATAATAGTAAAACGAGCAAATAACAGCGGTCTGTATGGAGAAAGCGTCGCTCAACTAAATCACGTAATGTTTTGTAATGTTAGCATCAGGCTAACGGTAACCTGAATGATGAGCTGCTCTGAAATGAAGGTCTGAGCCATAAAATTTGTCACATTTCTGTAAAAAAATAAATAAATCCTGCAACCTTTGTGAGTATTTGGATAATTTAGGGAGTGAATCATAGCTGGCTGAATTCCCACCGGTCTGGGTGGTGAAGCTGCTAACATTATTTACATGGTCTGTCTTTTGTCGTGAAGCTGCTGCTTTTTCCACAAAAGATGAGGTATTTCTGTGGGAGGTGGAAACCCCTCACCATCTCTCCTTTTTCTTTTTTTTTTCTTCCTTTTTTTTAGTTCTCTGAAATCTGGACTCCAGTTCCGACACGTCTTGCATTAAATTGTGAACCGCAAAGGGAGATTAAATAACATCTAAACGATTAGCCAGCAGCYCTTAACACTTCCTTTTATTTACTTTAATGTGAATGCAGTTTGACTCTTACTTTTCTTCTCGGACTTGTCTGTTCAAACTGAAGGGTTATTAATGATCAGGATGCAGAAGGACACTTCAGGATTAGTTTTTCCTGCTGTGTGTTTTGTTAAATAAAATCTGCAGGTAACTCAGGATTGGGATCAGTTTAGAATAAGAAAGTGACTTTTATGATGTTATTTATGATACAGTACACTGCCTGACACCAGGATACATTTTCATGTTTTAATCCAGGCTAAAGTTTACGCAAAATTATGTTTTATTATTTGAACATAAGGTTTGGTTTGGTGGTGCATGTTAAAAGTGCCAAGGCCCTGGAAACAAAGTACTTGATATTTAAAGTAATCTTGTTTTCAGCAGCTGATCTACTGTCATAAATCAGATAATGTGCATTTGATCGTAATCTTATCATTTGCGACAGAAACGATTCTCAATGCTGTCAGTTTGACAGATATTGTCAGCTCAAAGCTAGTGTAGTTGAGACTGAAGAGAGTGTTTCAAATGTTGCCATTTAGTATTGAAAGTCAACTCTCTGTAAGCAAAATATCTCAAACAGCTGGACAGATTTTCATCATTTTAATGCACACAGGGATACAACTACAGCTGATGAACCTTTGAAGCCAGTCTAACTTAAGCCACAGCTTATCAACATTAGTCAAGACAAAACTGTRACTCTCAGTTTTACAATTTTCAGCTAAAATTGGATATGTTTGTRGCTGAAAGTCAGTCACATGTACCCCAAGTGTTAATGTGCAAGATCTCTATTAACGTTACCTGTTATTAGGGTTGGGCGATAAATCGATTTAATCGATTAATTTGAATTTGCCATTTATAAAGATTTAATTTTGGGAAAATCTGGATTTCCCCCCCCCCACCACCACCACCAGTGCACTCTTTGGGGCTTCTGTTGTTCAGAGGTCACCCCACCTGTCCCTCAAGACACTTGGTACGCAACATGACAATATGGCTACGTTCACACTGCAGGCAAATCCGACCCAAGTCCGATTTTTTTGACCCATCTGACTCGTATCCAATTTTTTTTACGACAGTCTGAACGCGACAAATCCGATTTTTTTTTTTTTTTCAAATCTGACCCAGGCCGTTTCAGTATGTGGTTTTAAATCAGATATATAT